TTGTCCGAGTAGCAGACCACGTTGAAGCTCACGCGCGCCAGATCTCCCTTGACTATCTCGGACCACCGCTTACCCGACATCGGTATCAGTTCGGCGACCGGCAAGTTTTTGTATCTCCTGTCCGTGTCGGCGTTTTCGAGGAAGGCGTTCCTCGCCCAATCAGACACGTGTTTGAGATCCGGATTGTTTTCCTCCATTGATCTGCGCGATCGAGCGAGGTCCTTCGCCTTTCTGAAGCTGGTGCCAGTTTTCATCTTGATCTGCGGGCATCTCGGCGATCCTTCGACGGCAAGCTTGAACTTTTGGTAAACGCCTGCCCCGTCCGCCACCTCTTTCGATCCGTAACGACCCCTGAATCTCTTCACGAATCCGGCTAAGAAGCGATCGACGTTCAACTTGCCGCCAGAGTCGTGACACTCCTTGTAACTAGGGTGCGACATCCAAGCGGTCGCCGCGTGGTGGAAGAACAGGGCGTCTATCAAGATGGCCACCAGTCCCATCTTCGCTATCCTGAACGGCCCGTTTTCGGGATTGTAGATTCCGTTGAGGTTGAACGAGTAACTGGCGGCGTTCACGTCCGTCGTACCGACCCGTTCTCCGAACATCTGGTTGCAGCCGGTGGTCTGCATCCTCAATCAAGGTATTCCGTTGGCAAGTATTCCAGCGACAACTTGTCGAGAAGTTGGACGATTCCATCGTCTTTGTCCAAATCCATATTACGGTTACATATTGCCAGTTCGATCGACATCGTTGGAGTGAATAATTATCGGTTCTCATTAACGGTATTTATATAGAAAAAAAATTCGCACATACGTACTCAGATGGTGTCGCTATACTTTCCTCTGTCCTTCGTTGCGATCGCGTCGGCGACATTTCTGGCGATGCTGTGTGCTTTCACGCCCTACCTGGCAGTCGACGATGTTGAATTCTTGGGCACCGGGGCGGTTTCCAAGCTGACTGTGTCGGAAGGAAAGGTGATAGCCGTGCTCGCGGTTCTACCTGGATCGGCGACGTGCAGCATGCACGCCACGGACGATTTTTCGATGCTCGCTTCGGTCTTGTGTTCGGAAGGAAAATGCACGTTGAACGACGTCGGAGATTACGCGTACGTCAGGTGCTACGACGAGGACGGCAACTTTGCCGGCGGATCGGCGTTCCGCACGACGACGACGAGCGTGCCGTCCGACCGAAGCCTCCCTCCGCCGCCACTCTTCAGGATCGGGCACACGACGTTCGAGCACGCGACGCAAGACGGCATGGTCAGGGAAGTATTTACAGTCTTCGAAGGAGACGTGATATTCCGGTCAACATGAGTCTGAGACGCTTGCGTTCCATCCAACGGGTGGCGTCCGCGTCCACCGTGTGGTTGGTGAGATCCAAGTTCGCGAGGAGAGCCAGTCTGACGATGATCGCGTGCGCCGCCTTCTCGTTCCTGTTCTACGAGACGTTCGCCGTCGAGAGATACAGGAAGTACGGATGCCACGAAACTTACTTCGTCGGTCAGTAAGAGTGTCCCCCGCACTTGCAACCGCGAACTGGATCCGACGGGCTGATGAAGGTTGTGATCTGTGTCGGAGCGTCGTTTTTCGTCCTGTCCTTCCTGCCGTTCGTCTTCCTCGAATGGACGTTCGGCGCGAACAGGATGGCCGACGTCGCGGCGAACGTGCTCCGTTATCACTTCGACAGCGTCCTCTCGGAAAGCAGACCGGCGCCTCCTGACTTCGAGACGTACGTGCGAGTGCTCGGCTACCGGGGCAAGGTGTCCGGGACGACGTTGCCGCGCCAGTCGGTCGAGCGCGAGATGTTCTGGAGAAGGGTGCTCACGTGCCAGCTGTCCGCCATGTACTTGGAATGGGCGTACTCTGAGCCGCCGAAACGGAAGCTCTGGATTCGAACTATGATTCTGATCGCGTCCGTCGTGGTTCCTGCCGTCATCCTCGCCGATGCGTCGCCGGCGTCTCGCGCGTGCGTGGCCGTCGCCGGCCTATTCTTTCACGTGGCACCTCTGCAGTCGCTTGTCTCGCTGCTGCCGTTCGCTGCCTACTGGTGGGCGACCGTAGCCTGCTGGATCTTCTCGCACACGCTGTCCCTGCTGCTGACCGTGCGCACCGAACGGAAAGAGGAACTGGATGCGGTCAGACGATCGAAAGTCATCGATCCCCACGACATCGAAGACATGGTGTTCCTGGTGTACGTCGCGAAGAGATGAATAACGATTCCGAGTACACATGACGACATTATTACGTCATCCGTCGAAATAAAAATAATAAAGAGAGGAAACAGAACGCCAAGACTGATCATTTCGAAACACCTCGAGGTGTATAAGAGACAGGTACAGAACGAGGAACCTGTTGGTCGGCGTCGACTTGTTGTCCGAGTAGCAGACCACGTTGAAGCTCACGCGCGCCAGATCTCCCTTGACTATCTCGGACCGCCGCTTACC